AATTGGCACGGGCAATGCCAGAGCTACTGGAGGAACAGAGCTTAACAGCACCTGGACGCGCAGTACCAGAAAGTTACTCCCAAGCAGGTTGCAGATCAGCAGGAGCACATGAGTGATTCAGAAAGACTAGCATTCCAAGAGATGTTAGCCAAACACCAGGAGTTGTTTGATGGCAAGCTAGGAAGGTATCCTCATGAAAAGATCCACGTCAATCTAGAAGAGAATGCTGAACCAGTTTACATAAATCCATATCCAGTCCCCTACAGACATGAGGATATCTTTAAAAGGGAGTGCCAGCACCTAGTCAATGAATGGGTGATTGCTCCGACTGGCAGTTCAGAATGGGGCTTTCCAGCCTTTATCATTCCCAAAAAGGACGGCCGAGTCAGATGGCTTGTTGACCTCAGAGAGTTAAACAAAAGGATCAGGCGTCCTAAGTGTAACCTCCCCAAAATCCAAGACATCATGAACTGAAGAACACTGTATGATCACTTAACTAAGATTGATCTATCCATGATGTTTTACTGCTTTGAATTGGATGAAGAGAGCCAAAAGATTTGCACACTCACCACAACACATGGCAATTATAGATGCTTAAGATTACCAATGGGTCTTAAATCATCTCCGGACTATGCCCAAGCCTTCATCACTAAGATCCTATTTGATTTGGATGTTGAAGTCTATATTGACAACATGGGCATCTGGTCTCATGGACCCTTTACTCAGCATCTTTCTTGGTGGGTCCAGTCCTCAAGAAGTTAGCAGTGAATGGGATGAAGTGCAACCCCCTGAAATGTGAATGGGCAGTGAAAGAATCTGACTTCCTGGGATATTGGCTCACCCCTACCGGTGTTAAACCATGGCAAAAGAAAGTTGATGGGATCCTCAAAATGGGCATCCCACAGAATAAACAGCAGTTTTGATCTTTCCTAGGAGCCATGCATTATTACAAGTCTATGTGGCCTTGGAAGTCACGCGTACTTGCTCCACTAACAGCCCTTACAGGCTCAGAACCTTACATCTGGACACCAGAGTGCAACCAATCCTTCAACAAAATGAAAGCACTCMTTTCTCATGATGCCATCAACACCTTTGCTGATCTAGAGGTTCCATTTGACATTTATACCGATGCTTCTGATTATCAGCTCAGTGCAGCAATACTCCAAAATGACAGACCGATTGCCTACTGGTCTAAGAAGCTGAACAAAACTCAACACAATTACACCACAATGGAGAAGGAGCTGTTAGCTGTAATCCTTTGCCTCAAAGAATACTGGAATATGCTCTACGGTGGCAAAATCAACATCTACACTGATCACAAGAACCTCATTTTCAGGACACTGTCCCAGTCCCAGGTTCTTCGATGGAAATTTTCCCATGAAGGCTTTGTTATAGAATGACAATACATTCATGGCAAAAAGAATGTTCTTTCTGATTGTTTCTCTAGAGTGCCCAGAATGGATCCGTGCACTGTGGGGGATAAAGAAAGGAAAATATATGAGCAAAATAAGGGAACAGTTGTGAATTTCAAGGAATTGACAGCCCAAGTGGATCCAGAAGATGTTTTCTATTTGGAGCCCGAATTATATGAGTGCTTGCTCAATTTACCACCAGTATCAGAAATGGAGAATCCAATCACAAATGTAAACATTTACACCTATCAGCTCATCAATTCCCAATGCCAACAACTTCTTGAATCAGATCCAGAACACTACATCAAAAAGAAGATAGGATCTCTTGAATTGCTCACAGTACAAACAACGAATGATAATTGGAAGATCTACTTGCCCAATGGCCTAATAGACAGCACCCTCAGATGGTATCATCTTCTGTTGGGACATTGTGGCAGCACAAGGCTCTATGAAACTATCAGTGCTAGGTTTTATGCTCCACGACTCAGCCTACGATGCAAGCAATATCAGTGTCCGGATGAGTGCCACCAATTCAAACAACAAGGCCAGGGACATGGTTTATTACCAGCTCGGGAAGCTCAACTTGTTCCTTAGAATGAAGTATGTGTGGATCTGATAGGCCCCTGGAAGATACTTCTCCTGGATGAGACTGAACTGGTGATTAATGCCCTCACTTGCATCGATCCAGTCACTAACCTACTGGACGAGATCATAAGAATCAACAACAAATCAAGTGAGCATGTTGCAGAGCAATTTGCCAACTGCTGGTTGTCACGATATCCCAGACCCAACAGATGTGTTCATGACAATGGCAAAGAGTTCATTGGAACCCCATTCAAACAGCTGTTGAACCAATATGGCATTAAGAGTGTACAAGCCACTGTGAAGAATGCACAAGCCAATGCAGTGTGTGAGCGCGTTCACGAGACAATTGCCAATGTTCTTCGGGCGACGCTTCATACCACCAAGACTCTTGAAGAAGCTGAATTTGATGAAGATCAACTAATATACAATGCCCTTGCCTCTGCAATGCATGCTACCAGGTGTGCCGTGAATGCAGCAGTGAAGACCTCACCAGGAGCGTTAGTCTACAACAGAGATATGGTGATGGATATCCCTCTCATTGCTGACTTGAATCTCATCAGAAACAAAAGACAACACCAGATAGATGAGAATCTTAGAAGAGAAAACGCTAGGAGAATACCTTTCAGATATCAGGTTGGGCACCAAGCCTACATGAAATATTATGAACCAGACAAGCTGTCCCAAAGATTACATGGTCCTTATCCCATAGTGGAGATCAACACAAATGGAACTGTGGTATTGCAAAGGAGTGACAATGTACGTGAAACTGTCAATATTCAAAAGATTGTTCCCTATAAAGGAACTGTCAATACAAATGCCACTCCTGAGGACCCAACAACAGAAGAGGAACCCCCTGTTGAAAATGTTGAAGATATGATTGCTACAGTTTAGTAGTAAGTAATATTAGATGCAATACTATTCCTGAAGGGGATAATGCAACAGATACGATACATACGAAGCTTCGAAGAAAGGAATAGAGGAACATACCATTCCTATGTATGTATTGTAAGGTACCTTTCTTATGTATGTATCATAGGATCCATCGTAAGAGGTCCAAGGATCATAAGAGGTCCAAGATATCTAGAGATAGATTATCTTGCAAAGAACAAAGATGTCAAGAGATCCAAATAATAACAAGAATCCTGTGTAGATTCAGTACCAGAGCTACACAAGGATCTAATCGGAGCTTCGGAAAGCTCACGTTGAAACACAATAATCTTAATCTTATAATTTTCAATTTTATACACACTAAACATACTAAGAGTACATGTATCTCGTGCAAACAACTTCATTAAACTTCCTTCTTTGAAAACAACCACAGTAACCAACCAACCATGGGATTCACCCTCGAAACAGTCCATTTCCATCTGGAGAAAGCCAGCATCCCACATGAAAGTATCCTCCTGCAAGCTTGCTTCTTAAGTCTTCATGAGGAATTGTGGGGTCCATTGCTGGTGGTGTCCTCATGAGACTTGATAGGATCATGTTGTGTCCAATGGTACTGCACTGGAAGTTATACAAGTTGATGAGAACAAGGTTCATCGTGATTCTTCTTTCCCCATACTCCTCCAAGCACATCTGTCCTTGATTCTTGGGAATTGTCCCTGGATCATGTGTATTTCCCATTCTGACATCTGTCTCAAGGAGGTCGCGTCCCTGTTGAGGAGTATCAGATGTGGTTCATTTGGGTCCCTCTGCGAGCTCTTGATGAGGCTGTCCCTGTATTCTTTGAGCGCGAATGCTGAATCCACCACGACCTTTGCCCCATTACACTCTTTGTGGACATCCACTATGCCTTTATACACACCATGCTCGGCAATGGCGCTGTTGTGCCATGCCCCAGGGCAGTTGTAAACTACTATACGGATCTTTCCATCAGGGGCAAAGGCAAATACACTATTTACATATGTGTTCTCCTTCCATGCATTGTAGAATGGTCTTTCTTTTTACCAGTTTCCTGAGGCTTCAATCACTTGCTTGAGCCCATCCGCAGCACCCCAGACGCGTTGTTCTCCAAGCCTTGGATACTTGTCTCCAATTGCCTAAACATAAGTATCCACTTCTTGCTGAGTTKGGATCCTGACCATGGCCTCTGGATGCTTGTGGAGAGCAACAAGCATCACTCTCCATGAAAACTTAAGCCTGTGGATGTTAAGCCAAACGCCATCGCCATTGACCTTGCAACTGATCCTCTTGTCCTGTACCAGTAAAGGACAAGGCCTATTGAACAGACTGCATTGACCTCCCTTTTCTTCCCCTTGGGCTTCCCACTGGGGAACCGAGGAACCTCCACAATCTCATTGTTGTGGTTGACTGTGTACCTGTTCCTCCATACTGGAGCAATCAGGTCAACAAGCTCCCTGAAGACCTTGAAGTCTACTCCACAGCAGTTCAGCAGTGCTTGGTCTTTGCCTGAGTGGAACATATACAGGAAGGGGGAATCAGCATATCTCCTGATTGCAATATGTGGCGTCCGCCTATCCCTCCTATGACGCTCTTCTGGAGAGAGCTTGCTTTTGTAGCTTTGCTCCTGTTCCTCTGAGTGCAACTGGAGGTATCAGTACATGGTGATCACTTCCACTGATCCCATTGTCAATGTTTGATGTTGCCTTTTGTTTTGCTGGGAGGAAACTGTGGTCTTTTAGTGTGCTTGTCTAGCGTAATGCATGAACTCATTTTCTGATATCAAAAATAAGCAGAATATGATTTCATGTGTTAATCTAGTTACTACTAGTGTAAGAGATGAACACATTTTTTGTTACTACTGATAAGCAAAAAATGTGTTCATGTTTTACTCTACTAGTTGAGTATCGAAAATTTCATGTTTTCCTTTGTACCAAAATGTGGCGCGCGTTTCAGTCTTTTTTAGTCTTATCCAAATTCCTGGAAAGACTGGCATGGAGCTGGCCATGCTCTCGGTCTGTCCATTGAAATTTGGATTCCCGTTAATAGAAGTGCTAAACTCATAGATTCCGGAATTCTATCATTCTGTAATACAGTAACGGGAATCACTCAATTCAGGAGCTTCTCAACAAATGTTTTTCATTCAAAAATCATCAACGAGGAGACTCCGCTTTCTGATCGAAACATGATACCTCCTCCACACGCACCATCTTCGGAACAAAGACGTGTATAAATAATTTCGGAACAAGACGCCCGTTCGAAAGGCCATTGCCGTTCGATTTGTTGTTGGGAGAGGTTTTCCGCATGCACGAAACGAAACAGTGAGACCCTACCGGAGACTCAGATTGCTGTTGCGAGAGATGCCAATCGTTGCTGAACGTGCCGGACAGGCGGATTCTTGATGCCGCAAATCGCAATTGCAAATAGTACGGAGTATTCTACTTGCATTCTATTCTTATTGTTCTTATGATTAGAAAATTGGCAAACAAAAAATGAGCTGGTACTACTGTGCCCACGTCAAATCGTTCCCAAAGACCCCAAAGATCATTTCGAAATTGGTCAAAGCTGCCCCTTAATCTCTATCTGTGAGGCACTAGTCCCGTCGACCTCTGATGATAACGACGATGACGTTGTTGTTGTTTCGATAGTCTCGGTGCGTTCGATCTTCTTCGGCGTAGATGGTTCGACGGCCAGCACATTGCCTTTGGGAGCATCGCTGTTGTATCCTTCCGTCGTGGAAAGTAAGGAGTACTCGATGGTTTCGGCCGTCTCGAGAGTTGTTGTGGGTTCGATCGGTTTGACAGCAGCGTTGTGTGCTTCTTCACTCGCATTGGTCGACCGACCCTCGCGGGCTCGGTTGGTCACATCGTGTTCCACAGTGTGCTCTCCGTGGTCGTCTTTGCCGGAAACTTCCCGGGGTTCTTGGTGCAGGAGCAGCTGTTGTTCCAACCCACAAATCTTGCCCCTGAGTCCCTCCCGCTCGAGTTCCCATACCGATTGGTGCTTTGTTAGTATATCTATGAATCTGAGTTTCATCTGTAGTTCGATAGACGACGACGGTGGCGGTGGCGGCGAACGATCGAGGACGATGCGCTCCACCGTTCCGATCTTTTGGTTGTCTACCGATTGCTTTTCTCCGATTTCTTTGGCTTCCGTGGTCTCCGCATCGTGCCGCCAGATGATTCTGGTCCCCCCCCGAGCCGAAGACTCACCCTCGCCCGTTTTTGTGGTTGTGGTCGTGGTCGTTTTCACGGTCGTCACACCGGAGGCGAGGGATTCGAACCTTACCCGGAAGCCGTCGATTGTGGACGAGAGTTTTGCAATCTCGGCGTGCGACGATGCGATGGCAGCCTTTTGGATCTGATCCCTCCGGGCCAGCGCTGCGGTCCGCTTCAGCAGGAACTCATTCTCGGACCGGATCCCCGCGATCGTCTCGGTGAGACGCCTGTTGGTCCTGCGCGCGGAAGAGAGATCGGCCCTGCAGTCTGACAGGAGCGTTTCGTTTTCGATCAGCTGGCAATCGATGGAGACCGCCTTCAGCTGCAGCCGCTGGAGCAACTCGTTCGATCGCTTCCTCTCGGAAGCAAGGGCCTCTTCGGCAGCCAGTAGTTTTGCGGTGAGGCGCTTTAGCTTGTCGTCTTCGTCATTGCGGTCTTTGACGATCGAGGAGTGATCGTCGCCGTTGCTGTCAACGACCAATTCTTCCTCCACGGGAGCACCGTATAGTGACGACCACAGCGTAGTTTTGATTCCCATGGCAGACGAATGATTTAGTGTTTGCCGCGTAGTAGATGAAAAATTGTTGCACAGCGTGTTTGTGTTGTCTCTAGTTTTTCTTGGATGTGTGATTTGCAGGTCTCCTTTGGGTGACGAATCTTGGTTGTCTTGTGTATTGTGCGGTGGACGGAATGAATGTCGGGACGATCATCCTGCATCGTGATTGTATCTATTGAGTACGAGTAAGTACCGTGCTGCATCGAAGAGTTTAAAAAAGATCCAATATTTTTTAGATCGAACGGGCCCAGTGAGGCCTTTCGTTATACGTATGAGCGATGGAAAGAACTTTCGAGTCGAGGAGGCATGTTCGGGCACGCATCAACGTCCGGTCGGTAAATCGCTAGCCGGCTTGCTTATTAGCTCAACTAAATACAGTACCGTACCATACGTAGGAGTACGCACTGAATTTTGAAGTTTTTTGCAAGAATCGTACCAAAGTACCGTAACCTACGTAGGAGATATGCGGCAAGAGAGCTATTCAAGTAGCATTCGAAAATCGCTAGAATGAGTTTTTGCTATGGTATTATGGTCTTGAAACGGCAGGCTTAAATAGGGTAAAGAGAATTTTGCGTAACACTCTCACTAAAATACGAGACATTGTATTATGGATGTTGTGTATTCAGTACAGTGCCACGTGGTACCTCAAACGTTAGGTCAAGTTGGTCAAACAGTAGTTTATGGCTATTTGGCTTGTTATACTGTATCAAATGCTGAAACATACTGTTTTCAGTCTATAATAAATCAGACCACAGGAGTAGCTAATTCCCAATAGTCTGCTATGGGGGGGGGGTTTAACCCTCCCAGAGGGCCCACATAGCTAGGCCTGATAAAAAAGGAACTATGAACATCCTGAAAAGACCCCTATTGGACGTAGTACACCTAGAGGGCCGTACAAAGGGAAGGCTGTTTCACTTCCCATTTGCAGCATTGCCCTCTGATTGGCATAATGGGTGCCAATAGATCAAATTCAGTGGCAAATTGGGAGTCTTGTTTACACCGTTGACTCATCCAATTAAGCGCTGATCCCCCCCGCGAGTGTACTCGGTCCGTTCCTTTCATTGAGTACTAGCTTGTTACAGCTTCCCCTGGAAGCGTTTCAAGCAGTCGTTTAGCAGGTCTTGTTGAGCATAGTGATGATGTCTTAAGTGTTCACTTGGATCCTGTCCTTTGGATCTTTCCTTCTTTGACCAGCGGTTGGCTATGTCAATATCATCACCACTAACTTTTGCTCGTGTTGCTTGAGATGTGGCTGTCCGTCTCATGGTTCTATCGATTTCAATGTGTATTCGTATATCATCAGTGGAGGATATGGCATTGGGAAATAGATCCGGATGTTCCAGGAATACTTCTTTGGTTGCTTCCCAAAGAAGCTCATTCATCTTTTGCAAAGACAGTAAGAATCCTTCCTTATCACAGAAAGCTGGTTCAACTTGGCGACGGGCCCTATCATCTACTGCAAGTAGGCTATCTCTCCAAGCCCGTATGTTGATTCCAGAGCCAGTTACTTCAATAGACCTTATGAGCTAAGTATTGGGTGACGATCCCCCCTTTAACTTGCCATATAGAGGGAGCCACACCAAGCCTTGCTTGACTTCCTTGTGCTTTTGTAGAAGGAAAACATCCATAAGGAAGCCTTCCAATCCTCTCAACGATAATATGTAGGCAAAAGCTAAGAAAGCTCCGGCTATCACCCACAGATCTCCTAATGGGGAGTTGTTATGAACTACTGCATTTTGTGAGCACTGGTCCAAGATCAGTTTCCACAGCTCAACACTCAAAGCTATATTAGGGTGTCTATCGACTCCCATTCTAGACTTGCAGCCAGTGAGGAATCGTTGTTGCCAGTAAGAGGTTGCCCCACCTATATGCAGACAACTTGCAAGCCCTTTGTTGTCGCTTACGAAGCAGGCTCCTTTTAAGAGGGGATCTATGGCAACTCTTTCAAAGTTTCCTACAGCTTTTTTGACCCGTCTGATTGATTCCCATTGCTTGTGATCTTTAGCATACTTTCCCTCCTTGAGAGAATCAACAAGTACTGCAATTGCAGTCTCATAACCAAAGTTATCATACATAGGGGAGGGGCCTGGATCATAGAAAGGTCCTTCTAGACCTAATTTCGATAAGGACTTGATGGTTCTTTCTACAGTTAATGGTGTAGCACTTACTGGCGCAGGAGTGTGCTTGGTACTCATTTCCTTGACCACTGTGTGAGGAAACTTCTTGCCTTTGGGCTTTGCAGTGCCCTTTGAAATGATGATGGCATGGTTCTCATCCATCCACACTGTGAACCAACTCCTTTTATGTCCTCTGAATCCAGCAACCTGCCTTTACTGGCTTATCAGTATGCATAGAACCTGGTTGTACCTCCACAATACCTCCTTGGAGGGAGGTGCCACCCCTTAGAGCAGCTAGGAGCATTCTTCTCCCTAGTCTGGAGAATTCATGGTTCTGGCCATATAGTGCCTCGTCTAGTTCACAAGGTTAAATATAATATTAAGATTTTTTTAATCTCCAGAGCCAACATTGGTTACAGATTGTGGAAATAACGATGCAAAAGCCTTGGCTATTGCTACAGCATACAATATCTACAAAGAATGTACTGATGGAAGCCTTGGCAATGAGTGGAAGGTAAGCAAAGTTATGAGCTATCGTGAGTTTTGTCAGAGGCTTGCCTTGCAGATGATAAGGTACAATCCTGTTGACCAGACCTGTGACTGTGATCATAGACTGCAGCAGTTCACAAAAGAAAAACAAAGGATTAGAAGTGGAAGAGCAACTAGAAGAAAAGCATGTAAGACTTTCCTTAACAATGGTAAGGTGCTTGGATATACAATTTGCAGACCATTGCAGAGAACAAGGTAAATGGAAGATTTTGCTTCACTCAGACTGAGTAGTATAAAAGACATTTGCTAGGAACAACACCAACCAAGTCCAGGAGCAGAAACATTTGTTACATGTGTGGTGCTTATACTTACAGCCTGTGCAAGCTATGTGGAGTCCCACTTTGCAGTAGCAATGTTCATTCAAAGAAGAGGTATTCCAGTGGAGATCCCATCTGGAAGCTCTGTCACAGCAACTATCACAATTATGAATGGTTTGGGCTTGGAAGAAGTGACTACTGCTCTAGAGTGAGAAATGACAAATCAACTAAAGATAGGAGAAATTGGAAGTCTCCAAGCAATGTAGAATTGAAAGATAATACTCCTACTGAGTACATAAAATTCTTATTGGACATCAAGGATGAGGATGAGGGTGAGGAAGACACTACTAGTGTTGGTGGTGATGTTAATAAGAATAGTACAAAAAAGTTAAATATGCTGGATAGTTTGCTCATTTGTTTGTTCATTTGTTTGCTCATTCTATTGCTGATACAGTTGCATATTTTGTTGTTGCTTTGTTGGTTGCTTTGTCAGTTGCTTTGTTGTCAGTTGCTGACTTGGTTGCTGGTTCTCACAATCCATCTCCTCACAATTCATCTCCTCATAGTCAGCTGAATCAAAGAAGAAGCTCTGATCCATGAAAAAAGGATGTCCACACTCATCAAAGGCAAATTCTTTGGCACATTGAGTGCAAGGAGTGTAGTTGTTTYCCCTCTTCATTACTGTCCTGTAGATCTCAAAGAACCACTCATGTTTATCCCCAATGCTCATAGTTTGAGGCAACAGCGGGGGCTTTGCAAATCTAGCTAACTTGATTGCCTTTCCAATATCTTTCTTTTTCAAGTAGGTCTTCTTTGAACAACCAGAACAGGTCTCATTCAGCTCCTTGTTGTATGGAGTAGGTTTGCTGTTCCATTCCCAATCTTCCACCCACTTCCAATCTTGAAAAAAAAAATCTTAATATTATATTTAACCTCGTGAACTAGAAGAGGCGCTATATGGCCAGAACCATAGCTTTCCTTAGAAAGAATGCTTCTAGCTGCTCCGAGGGGCGGCGCCTCCCTCCGAGGAGATGTTGTGGAGACGCGACCAAGTCTTATGCACACTGATAGGCCACTGAAGGCCCAAGGCTAGACTCAGAGGGCATGTTTAAGAAAAATATTGCTTCATGATAGTAGTTTGTATGGCACGGTTGGTTGTAGCAGAGACTAAAGAATTTTGTGGGGACACAGGGGGTCTGTGTCATTTCTTCTTGGAGTAGGCATCAAAGACTAGCCCTTCTTGTGTGATGCTCTCCGGTGGTTGTTTACTATGAAGCACTGGTCAAAAATACTGGGTAATTGGGTGGGTGTTGGAGACTGAAGCACTTGTAGCTTGAGAGACACTCGCCAAGATTGTTTTCTCATAGACACGATGGTAAAATGAGAGCATGGAGGTAGGAGTCGTCAATAAGAAGGCTTCCATATCTGCTGGAAATAAGTGGGCGTGGGAAGGACATGTCTGTGATTTCAGCTCAAACAGAGTGCGGACTTTCGTCACCACCCTCTGTCGATGCTTTGCTTGCTTCTGAGTAAGTGTGTAGCCATGGAGGTCCTTGTTTTGCTGTTCCCATAATGATATATAAGAGGTAAGAAAGAATTCCACAAGATAACCCCCCAACACGAGCGGGGAATAAGAGCTGGAATGAAGGTCAAGATCAGTAATCCACTGGAGTGAAATGTGACCGGCAAACACGTGGTGCCACCCAATCTTGCTCTGAAAATGGATAACTGGATGAAGAGATGTAGGATATTTCTCTGGAGAAACTGCGCTKGTGTCTAGCCAGTCGGTAAGACAAGTAGTAAGAGTGTCAATAGCAATTGGCCCGAAGCCAAGTGTGGACATCCGTTGTCGTAAAGATGTAATGGTCTGCCTTTGCCATCTGAGTTGTGATGGATGTGAACATCGAAAGAGATGCTCGCAATCTTCAGGCATCTGGCAGAGGCAGCAAGTATCATGGGTTTGGTAGTTCCACCTTTTGAGAACAGTGGCAGTGGGCAGAATATTGTTGCAACATTTAGTGACCAAAACATTCCTGGAGATGCGGTTTATGGCAATACTCAGGGACTCCTATGCAATATTGGCAAGAACCTGTGGAGTCCACTGGTTCCTCTCTGCCAAGTATGCTTGATATTGGGGGATCAGACAAGAATCTGTGAGAGCTCGCTTATATTGGCTGGTGACAGAGCGCGATTGGATCTGAAGCACTGCTGGACAGGAAGGTAAGACTGGCGTGATGAAATGTGGTGTAGCCATCTGAGCCTGAAACGCCCCAGCATAACTATCAGCTTCTACATTTAGTTGGGCCTGCAGAGGAAGTTTATCAAATGCAATGTTGTCATCTTGGTGACCTTTCACCCAAGAGAAGGAGCAAGTGATATGTGGAGACTGGATGGTTTGAAAGATCTGTTCAATCAAATCAAATTCTGGTGCTAGAGTAGCGTTGGCATAGACTTCATTGTATTCACTTCTGGATTGGAGTCTAGTTATGAGTGCCTTGCTGTCACTGTARAAAGTAACTGGCGTTGGACAGGGTGTTGCAGTGCCACTAGAGGAAGATGAGGAACTTGAGATACCTGTATCAGAAGAGAGTGAAGGCAAAAGATGATGATTTTGGTCCTGGAGATGCATGTCATGCAGGTTGCCGATAAGAGTAGAGAAATGTTCCACTTCATTGCCTAGCTGAGAATGAAGGTGGAAATTGCAAACTTGGGGACTGGGCTCAGTACTGTTTGCAGTGGAAGTTGCTGTAGAAAAATTTGGGGTTGTATTCCTATTCATTTCAAATTGGAAATGAAATGGACTTTTTCTCACTTTTTCCCTCTGGGTACTGTTCACTGTAGAAATCTCTGTAGGATGAGATCGTGATTTCATTCCATATTTGAAATGAAAGCAAGGGTTCATTTCATGATACCATTGGTGAAAATGCGAGACAAGGATATTGACAAAAAGGGTAGCCGATAACAATCCAGTTGCTTCTGCACAAAGTGAACTTTTGCTGCCAAAGCATGGGCCATGTGCATGAGCTATTCTGTCCCCAGTTGTGGTAGCGAGTGACCAACCAAAGGACATGCAGCCATCTTTACCAGACCCATCTGAAACCATGAGAAGGGGTATTTCAGTAGCCAGTACTTCTAAAGTTTGGGAGAAACTGGTCTCAAACTGGACCAGTTTGAGGAGTTGGAGTTGCCATGGATCAAGGCAACGCAGAAGGGCAGACCATGTCTTGGGTTCGTGATGGAGGGACCTGCGGCAGGCAGTTTGAATGTGACGTGCGCTGGTAGGATCATATTGAAAGCCATCGGTCTGGGATTTCCAAGTAAGAACTGGGACGTGTTGTCCAGGAGGGTATGTACCAGAGACACTTGATGATCATGGTGGTCCAATTTGAGTGAGTACAACAGGATGGGACTGCCACTTGCCTGGGCATGGTGAAGTCCAGATGCGATGATCAGTAGACAAATAAGCATTCCATACACCATGACTAGTATGAGGAGGATACCAGTCGCCAAGGCGATAAGCTTTGGTCAGAATCCTGTCAGGGACAGCACCGCTGGAAATGCGGCAAAGTAGTTTGTGAAAGGCATTCCAGCTCGGTCTGTCAGGCTTGGGCTGATAGGGATGTGCAATTGTAGGATGATAGAATTCCAAACATTGGTTGGAAAAAATGCTAGGGGACAGCTTGCTTGTACCAGGAAGACACAGTTCACTAATCCATTGGATCTTGAGATATATGCAAACTGAATTGATCCTGTGAAGCGTGCGAAGATGTCCTTTTGAGATCTTAGTGGCATTCTGAGGGACGCTGGCCAGAGCAAGATCCATAATTGTGTGGTCGCCACACCGGAGAGGTGGCACCAGCCCTGTGGTGTCAACTGTGATGCAGCCCTGTATAGTGGTCAGATATTTCCAAACATGATGCAAAAATTTTCCAGGGACATATGGTATTGCAATGGAGGGAGCTTCAAGGACAGGTTTGAAGAGGCCAGAGAATAATTGAAACCACCATAGTACAGTCCGAAGAAGTTTCCCGGCAATATCATTGGATCGCCAATGTTTCAAGAAATGAGTGACATAGGTTCTGCCAGTGATGACCTCCAGTGGGATGAACCCTGCACCTCCTACAGACGCTGGTGCGTATAKGAGGGCTCTGGCAGTAGTGCGGGCATAACCACAGAGTGAGAGAATGCGTGGAAAGTATTTCCTTTCCAACTTGAGCAGTTGGGCKGAAGACAAAAAGGACTGGGGCAGGGGATACTCAATAGCAGGACGCAAAACTGTTCCATAAAGCATGCATGCTGTAGGTCTGTTGGGGGAGCATTGTTGAATGGCTGAGCAGATTGAATCAGCTTTGGATAATAGTGCATTCAACTGAGTTGTATATGACTGACATGGAGACTTGTGGTGGCCAAGATTTTTGCGTGCTGTAGGTCTGTTGGGGGAGCAGCAGTGAATGGCTGAGCAGAGTGAATCAGCTTTGGATAATAATGCATGCAACTGAGTGGTGTATGACCCACATGGGGACTTGTGGTGGCCAAGATTTTTGTGTGGAGTGAATATGTTCTTGGAAGCAATTCGGACTGGTTCTCCAATAGGATTAGTCAGGAAGATATCACCAGTCATGTGAAGAACACAAGGAAGCATATCCAGTGGAGATTCAGGGAGGTATTGGAAATCATAGTATAAGAGGTGAAAGCCACATTTTGGAAGTTCTAACTTCCCCCCTGAACACCACAGAAGGTCATGCCAAAGTTGTGCATCAGATCGAAGTCTATCCAACAAGAGATCACTAAGGGGAGCGTCTGGGGGTGAAGCAGTGATGACGGTGGAGTCATCAACAAAGCCAATGATCGACATGGAGTGCAATGGATACGTACGTACTGAAAGGATACGTACATACTATATCTGAAGTATACGTACGATACGAAGCTTCGAAGAAAGGAATGAAGGAGCATACCATTCCTACGTACCTATCGTAAGGTACTGTTTATATGTATAGATCATACGATCCATCGTGTTGATGATCGTAAGAGGTCTAAGATACCATTCGAGAATACCTCACGAAGAATAGAGATGTCACGAGTCAGGAATAGAGAACCYCCATGTAGATTCCCTACCAGATCTACATGAGGTTCTAAACAGAACTTTGGAATTCTCGTGAACGCGCTCGGTAATCTTAATCTTACAATTCAATTTTCATACACACTTAAACACCTACTACCAAGAGTACACGTAATCTTGTGCATGGAGAAGGAGAGAGTGCCATCTGGGCTAGAGAAAGTCATGCCATAGGAGGCAGTGTTATGAGCCTCAAACAGTCTACTTGACAAGAGGGCCCATATGACTGGACTGTTGGCAGATCCCTGTCCAGTGCCATGAATTGGGAATCTGGGGGAATGTTGATAAGATGCATTAGTGATACKGTTGGAAACTTTCAATTTGTAGTGTGCTCTGTGGAGTGTACGTGCATGGACTCCAATAACGTCCCTGTGAATACCATAACCTCTCCCCGAAAGACTTGAGAGAGAAGTAAGGATTTGATCATAACAGGAGGAAGCGTCATTGTCAAAGTTAGCAAAGGGTGTCCGTGTCAATTGAGAGTAATCAAAACGGAGTTCCTCCATGAGTGTAACAGTCTGTGCCTCTTTGCCTGGTGCTCCACCAAACTGACATGGATGGAGAGTGCMATCAGCTCTGGCCTTTTGGATGGCACTGCGCCATTTGGAGCCAAGGAGAAAATTGAAGTCGGCTTCATACAGGTGTATCACTTGAAGTCTGTGGATTTTGGTATTACCTGGGTCTTTGTAGATCATTAGATTCACAATGGTTTGCCAGCGTTTGAAGGAGTATCTGTGCTTTAGGGCGTAGTTGAGAATGGAGATATAGCAATGCCGGATAGAGACCTGGATTTGCTTGAGAGTTTCCAAGACATCCTCGTCATCTTCATGGATTGCATGGAAAAGCAGCTTATAGTGTCCCAGATGGCGACCGCTTGGGGAAGTAGAAGTAGATTCCCACCACTTGGTAAATTTGGTTGTGAAGTCGTCATGCGAGACCTGAGCTGGCAGGGAGTCTAAGCTGGTCACTTTGTGCAAGTGACGGAGGAAAAGCGACGTAACATTGTCATAATCGTTGTCGGAAAAGTTGCCATCAAGAACAAGTTCTGCAGCTTAGTGGTGCAAAGAGTCAATTTTATCATCAATGGAGGCAAATGCATTCTTGAGTTCRGTATCTAAGTTCGAACGTTCGAATTTGGTGGCATTCCAAGTCTTCAGGTCAGATTTCAAAGTTTTGTGGAGATTTTCAACTTTTTGCACATGAATAGGATGCGCTATCCGTTGTAGGTCTCGAATGGTACGATCTTGTTCTTCGATCTTCGTCTGAAGGCAAGTGAACTGTGTGACGACTTGGGTGAGGGTTGTCTGCTGGTCAGTCAGACGGTCTGAGAAATTATTGAGAACATTTTGTTGCTGTTCAAATCTATCAAGGACTGTCGCAGAAGTTTGGTTGGCTTGAGTGATGGTATCAAGTAACTGTTCAAAGCGATCATTGACAGTCTTGACCAGAGAGTTGGTTGCTGATTCAAGATCATCATGCTTAGTTGCAAGATCCTGGTGACCCTTTTCAATGGAGGTATATTGAGCCTGGAGGGAGTTATGCTGAGTTTCCAAGGCCTCAAGCTTATGAGACCACTCCGAGTTTGGAGTCAGAGCAGACAGTGTTGGTGTTGAGTGTGATGGAGGAGTAACAAAGGTGGGTTTCTTTGTCCAAGCATTTGGGGGAGGTGTTCTGGGAGGGGAGGACATTGGGGATGTCGAGACAGAGCTTGGAGGACGTGAGAGCCAGGCCATGGATCCTGGAATTGAGGAGGGACTGCCAATGACCGATGATGTATGTGGCTTGGTATGAAATTTAGCAGGGTTGCTTTTTGGAACAGTCTTAAGGAGAAGATCAATCTGGGCAGAGCTAGCGGGAGGCAGATTATTGGTCAAAAGCTTCCATTCTCCTTGAGATTCAGTTGTGTAGGTGGGATGAATGCTAACCACACCTTGCAATTGGAGTAATTGTTGTGTGATATGACCAAGTGCAGTTGGATCAAGGGCATGAATGACGGTGATACGATGAGATCGTAGATAGGCTTGCTGTTCATAGATGGCCGTAGCAAAGTGCTGATACATAGGGTGTTTCGGAAACGCCCAGGTTGTGTTGACCATGCGAGTGAAGTCAGGGTGTGAACTATCGCTCAGTTTACCAAAAATGTAGCGGACGAGAGCCTTGTGCAATGATGGGCAAACTACTCCAGTAGCCCGGGTTCGATGGATTTGTCGGGCACCGTTCACTAGGCCCTTCCACAAGGGACGCACAGTGGTCACCATGACCTCAGGAATAGTGCCATCCCACTTTGAAAGGGCTGGTGTTTTAGCCACAACTTGAGATTCCAATTCTTTTCTGTTTTGGTGTAGAAAGGATTGGATTAATGCGTTGAATTTCTTTTGGAGAATGGGCTGGGAGATAGCCTCAGGATGGTGATTACCACTAAACCACGCAACTTCAGTAGTTTGAACTGAGTTCATAATCGCAGTATGTCTAACAATCCAGATGCGCTGCTCCTGGAGAGTGTCCATCAGAGAGCTTTTGAAGTTCCTAATAACCCGGTCAGGCAAATCAGGGGTCATTGGGCGCTGAAGCCATAGGGTGAGACGCACTCGGTGGTCGGTGGGGCTRATAGAGTATTCAAAGTCTTGTTTCATTTTGTTAATGGAACAGGGATTAGCGTAGGAAGCTGCAACAAGACGAGTGGTGCGGCCACTCCCTACGAGTGTGAATGGAGATGGGAGAGATTCATTTGCCGTTAACAAGGTATGCAAAGTCTTTGCGATAGGATGATCAATTGATTGGGTTTGGGAGGGCTCCTGAGTGACCGTTGGAGTGTCAATACCATGAGGAAGCTCACCAGAAGGCAGCTTCCCAAGCTATGCGTAATGGAATCAACGTATGAGGTTGAATCCCAGGACGGGGGGAATCACACATGAATCGTGTTTCATTGTTTAGGGGACCAGTATGTGGGAGGGGTTGTCTTTCATCCGGGAGGGCAGGGTTCTTGGCCAGGGATGCAAGCTTTGGAGCAGCAGATGGTTTCGTAGAATTGGATGGACTTGGACTACGAGTGTGACGAGTAACAGTAGTGCTAGTAGCTGCCGTAGTAGTTGTAGTAGTAGACGCAGTACTGGTGAAGGTGACAGCTTTGGGTGTGCGTTGTTTAGATCGAGTGATGGCAGCAGAAGAATGTTTACTTCTGTTAGAAGTAACCTTAATCCAATCAGATTCGTCTGCGGAGGGCATGTTGTGATCCAAGGGAGGGGATGCAGTAGAAGTGTCAGTAGACAGTAGTTGGTCTTTGTTGGACAAGTTATTTGCTTGGGCATTTATGTGGGGACTGGGCTCAGTACTATTTGCAGTAGAAGTTGCTGTAGAAAAGTTAGGGGTTGTATTCCTTTTCATTTCAGATTGGAAATGGAATGGAGTTTATCAACCGGTTTCCTTTGCAGTACTGTTCACTGTAGAAATCGCTGTAGGATGAGATGGTGATTTCATTCCAGATTTGGAATGAAATGGAGATCTCATTTCTGTACTGGTCGTATGTAGCTCATCTGAATGCCCTTCCGCCCGCTTGTCTGTAGAATCAGTACCAGAAACAAGGACAGAAGAGGGGGTTGAAGTAGAAACAGCATGKGAATCGTTATTTAATAGGGTCTTTGGGGTTAAAGACTGGGTAGTTAGGGACGGATCTTGGGTGTTTAACCCTTCGGCATGCTTAGAAACAGAAAAACTGCCCTTTGGGCCAGGGATATGCCCCTGGGGGGGGAAATTTAGGCCAGATGACTCAGGGGCAATCAAAGGAGGGGTCTTCGCTGTGTCTTCAGTGGACATTGCTGCAAAGTTCTCTAGGTTCTCTAAATTGGGCGCTTGTAAAGTACACTTAAGAGACTGTTTCTTTGGGCCTAATGATATTTCGGATTTATCAAAAGGGACTAGAGCTTCACTTAATGCTTGCACTTTGGATTTATCACTGACTAAGGGAACACTTAAGGCGCTCGTCTTGGTAGCTGGAGTTGGTGCCGGTGCCATATAAGTATCTAAAGTGTCCTCGGTGGTGAATTTCTTTTTCTTTTTCTTCTGTTTCATGCTCTCCTGGCTATCCTCGCTGTTGGACAGGGGAGAGGAGCCATGGGGGCCCTGGGACTGGGTCTGAGTGGAGCTGGGAGTGGAGCTAAGGGTCCATTTGGTTTCTAATGTGGAAGATGGGGCCTCAGTGGAGGCTGGAGGCATCGATTCATCTCCATCCGGGGGCATCGATTCATCCCCATCCGGGGGCATCGATGCATCCTCTTCCAAAAGCATCATCGATTCATCCCCATCCAGGGACATTGATCCGTCCTTAGTTGGAGACTCTGATTCATCCCCTGAATAACAGGAGATAGACTGATCCAAATGAGCTTGGAGGAGGGATTTGGTGGGAGGTGCCGGTGTTGTCGTGTGGTTATTTTTATTTTCTTTTTCTTCTTTATTATTGGTGGTTACTGAATTTGAATGAGATTGAGTGGAGGGACATGCTATGGTGATAGATGTAGGTTGCCKGGTTCTAGAAAGCCTCTTCTGAAGCCTAGCAGCAACTGTTTGAAGTACTGTGGGGGGGGTCTTCTTCTGACTCGCAGGTCGATTCGGAATTGTAGTCCGATGCTGAGGGATCACTTCTAAAGCAGAGACCTTGGAGACTGGAGGAGCCGTCTCCTGTGCCTGCAAAAGGCTGGGGGAAGGCCCGGGGGGTCCCTTTGGTAGGGGAGGGTCCTTACTGGTTGGATCCGGAGGGTCCTTGTTACCCTTTGGGTTGGGCCCGGTCATGGTTCCTGGTAGTCCGATGGTGCAAGTCTTAGTTGACTTGTGTAGAATCTAGTACTAATTCTAAGTATAATTTTCAAGTGAGAATCGTATCTTCGTGCGAAGATGAAACACGGCTGCGTTTGAAAAAATTCGTTGCTGTTGCTGTTCCTTATCTGCTATTCCTTTCTGTTCTGTCATGTACTGTACTATTTGCTCTATGGTGTCATTGAGGATATCTCTTCCACATCTAATGTATTCATTTTGCCATGGTTTGGGAAAGGATCTGAAAAGAATCTGTTTGACCTCTCTGTCAGACAAGGGTTCCTGAATGCCATGAAGGATGTTGGCTCTGGCGCAACAGGTTTTGACTCTATCTGCATGGGCCTGGCAGGAACTGGAGTGGGACTTTCTGATAGCTTCTGATTGCAAATATTCAATAGCTTCATCGCGGGCTCTCTTTGATGGTGCATAGAACTTCCTGAAGGTGAGCAGGGCTGTCTTCCACTGTTGCAAATTGGTTCTAGGTACATCCACTAGTCTGTTGTTGTGCCACATGCTGTTCCACTTCTGTCTGGGTCTGTGTGCTAGGACCATTTGCCACTTCTTATCTATCTGATCATCCGGTAGTTCCAAATCCTTTATTGCATCTTCAAAGTCTTCCKGTACATGGAATAATTCCTGCACTCCATGTTCACTGGAGAAGCTTAAACAGTTCCTAGTTAGCTTCCTTGCTGGGCGTTGAAGGTTCACAGTGAGGGAGACTGTCTTCAACTGGCTCTCATCAAAGTTGTTTATTAGGCTGAGACAGGATCAATGTGTGTTTTGTCGATATTGTTTGGTAGAGGAGTTGGTGTTCTTGTTTGGTTTCACCATGGTCGATGTGGTAAACAGTACCTTAAGATTGGTACGTAGGAATGGTATGTTCTTTCATTCCTTTCTTCAAAGCTTTGTATCGTACGTATACTTCAGATACAGTACGTACGTATACTCCAGATACTTTACGTCCGTATCTATTGCAATAACTATTTGAATCTTCTATCCAACCCCTGATCAATTTGTTGTTGATTTATTAACTCAATTGCTTCCCTTGCCTTTGTCATTTCATCTCCATATTGCCCTTTATAATTGCAAGCTTGCAATGTGGCAGGCTGTGGGTCCTTTGTAAACAAGCATCCAGGCTTGATACCTTGCCTTCTTTGGTTTTGCTCTCCTCCCATTAAATTTCACCACTGCTTTGGGTGACAACCAAAAAAGATTGCTCTAGTGAGTCGTGGGGGGACTGAGTCTGGAGAGCTGTTGGCATATTGATATACATCCTTATGGAGGTCTTTGACAAGGAAGTCTGGTGTTTTTAGTACTTGTTGCTATGCTTGTTTGTGTTGCTGCTGCTTGCTTTTTTCAGTATCCTCCATTTTTAGCAGGGCTCACAGGATGTATTGTTCTTGATCAATTTAAGGAGAAAGAAATGGGATCAATGCATCGTGTCAAAGCACAGAGAAATGCTTCCATCACAGTTCCTCCTGACAAACCAGAAAGAGAACAAATGTATCAAGAAGGAGGTGTCTTGCTGGATTATGAGTAAATACAATTAGTGGCCAAATTTAGTGAGCAGTTTGTCTGTTGAGGTGCAAAATGTCCTTTGTCCATTGAGTCAAAGTAGTCTTAACACAGTAATTAGATGGCCCAAAATCGACATACCATATAAACTACACGTACAACATTAACTAAGGATCAACTCACTCTAACACCCATATCTTGGTCCCCAACAGACGCAAAACAACATGAAGCACATATTTAGAAAGAAAAATATGAGAGCTTTCTAACCGTGTTGGGGAGTTGGAGGGTCATAGTTGTATTCATCAATATTTGTGTATGGATATTGAGCATTACTAATATACAAATGACATGACAAGAAACTCTCCACCGGCTCTACATGACAGAATTACTAAATTTGATAGACTGACAGACCAAAATTTAGCACATCTATAACAAAATTTAGCATGTTTTGAATGGGTCAAAGACCCCCATTCATCATCATCCTTTTCTTGGGCACTACCACTCATACCCCTTGTACCAAACAGTAATTCAGGTATGTTCTTCAGGAGGAGCAACAAACAAGAATTTGTGCATGCAGTGACAGGTGACAGGTGACAGACACCAAAAAACACAATAGAAATCAATGACAATGGTTTGCATTATGGTCAGATTGTTTACTAAAAAAAATCTTAATATTAGATTTAACCTCGTGAACTAGAAGAGGCACTATATGGCCAGAACCAGAGCCTCTCCGGACTAGGGAGAAGAATGCTCCTAGCTACACCAAGGGGCGGCGCCTCCCTCCGAGGAGGTTATGTGGAGGCACAACCAAGTTCCATGTGCACTGACAAGCCAATTAAGGCAGGTCACTGGATTCAGAGGTTGAATGGGTGAGAACCATGCCATTGTCAGTTCAAAGTGCACTGCCAAGCCCAAAGGCAAGCCACCAAATGCAGTGATCGAGGAACTGTTGGAGTAGTCATTAAAAAATAAAAAGAAAAAAGAAAAGCCAAAAGAAAAAGAAAAGGAAGCTGAATAGATTTTCAACTGTTTGTGGAACCTTGGGACTGGAGTCAGTGTTATTGCTTGTGGACACAAATGCTAGAAACAACAACAACTCCACCGGAAAACTCTTCTGGTCCAAATAAAACTGGAACTGCATGGAGATAAAGCTGGGGAATCTTCTTTGAGAGTATGTACGTAGCATATACTCCAGGCTGTGTTCTTCAAAGGGTCTTGGTTGAATGGGGAAATACTGGGGTTGGTGCTGTTGCTTTCCGGCACGGAGGTCAGAAACAACAGCAATTGTGACCAGAAAGCASTGAGCTTCCGGTCCTTGAGAACTGGGGATGGATCTAGCTGAGGCAAAGCACTCAATTGGGGGAATACTGGGGTTGGTGGTGTTGTTGTCCGGCACGGATGCCGGAAACAACAACAGCAACGTTGTGACCAGAATCTGCTCCTGGTCCGTAAAACACTGGACATGGAAATGCATAGACTGGAACTGCATGGAGAGGAATTGGTCTGCAAAATACTGGWACTGCATGGAGATGCTGGGGAATCTTCTTGAAAACTGAGTAGTATGATGTAGCATATACTCCAGGCATTATTCTTCATGAGGTCTTGGTTGAATACTGGGGGCTGGGGTTGGTGTTATTGCATTCTGGTACGAATGTCGGAACGAACAACAACCAAACCAGAAAACTCTTGCGGTCCGTAAAATACTGGAACTGTTACTGGAACTGCATGGAGATGCTGGGGAGTCTTCATTAAAACTAAGTAGTATGATGTAGCATATACTCTAGGCGTTGTTCTTCAGAGGATTGGTCTTGGTTGAATACTGGGGGCTGGGGTTGGTGTTATTGCATTCCGGCACAGATGCCGGAAACAAAACAACGACAACGTTGTGACGGAGAACTCTTCCAGTCTGTAAATTACTGGAACTGCATGGAGGAGATGCTGGGGAATCTTCTTTAAAACTGAGTATGATGTAGCATAAACGCCAGGCTGTGTTCTTCAAAGGATTGGTCTTGGTTGAATACTGGGGGCTGGGGTTGGTGTTATTGCATTCTGGCATGGATGCCGGAAACAAAAACAACAACATCGTGACCGGAGAACTCTTCCGGTCCAGAAATTACTGGAACTGCATGGAGATGCTGGGGAATCTTCTTTACTGAGTATGACATAGCATAAACTCCAGGCTGTGTTCTTCAAAGGATTGGTCTTGGTTGAATACTGGGGGCTGGGGATGTTGTTGCTGTTGTCTGGCACAAATGCCGAAAACAGCTTCAACACTGGAAGATACCACCCGGTGCTTCTGGAGGAACAGGGGATGGATCCAGCTGGGGCAAACTGACACCACCAGCTGGTGGATATTGATATACTTGGAATAGGCTTGGTTACATTGCTTTGTTGCTTGTTGAATGGAGCCAGGGAGGTGGATTTTCCCCTTCCAAAGGAGATGTCACCATGGTTCGGAAGTCAGAAGGAGCYTGTCAGGTAGGAATGTACGTAGGAATCAGTAGGAATTCTAGGGGATAATTTTCATAAGCGAAGTGTAATTTCATGCGTTTGAAAAAGTTCGATTTGAAAATTATATGGTCAGATTGTTTACTACTAATGAGCAAGAAGGAATCAACAATGATCATGTCTGTACTATTGAAGAAAAACATGATCCAAGAGTGGTGGGGGTATCAAAGTTTACTTCTGCCAGAAAGTGTTTTCTTTGTTTTTGTATCATATGGAGGAAGGATGAAAGCTCGTTGACAATACTAATGGTATCTGCACAATTGCTGGTGATACTGCTGTCTGTAGGACATCAGATCATGGGTATGATTCATACATGCAACACATACATGCAACACATATCTATGATTCATATACACTCTACTACATTCACAACTCATTCAATCCTATGCATCCACACGATTGACTTCACTCATTTGATTCACACACATCACTGGATTGTCATTAAATTACACTTTGGTTCTGAAAATTATCACCTAGATTTACTACTGATTCCTGCACACACACATTCCTGACCAAGGCCTTCTGGCCTCCATGGCCTCTATTTAAGCACTGTAAGTATCCAGGAAGCCACTACTAATATTATCACTAACCCCCCCTCCCCCCCTTGTCTCCAGCTACTGGCAGTTTGCCTCAGCTCCTGGATCCATTCCCACCAGTTCTCCAGACCGGTAGCAAGATTCCAGTCACAATGGTCTTGTTTCCCAGCATCCATGTCACAAGAGCAACAACCCTAGCCCCAAGTATTCAACCAAGACCTATCCTTCAAAGAACAATGCCTGGAGTGTGTGCTATATCATACACAGTTTTAAAGAAAATTCACCAGCCTTATCTCCAAGCAGTTCCAGTATTATTTACAGACTGGAAGCCCCAGTATTTTCTATTCAAGATGTTGTTGTTTCCGACATTAGTATTTGTGTTGGATAACAGCAACAACTTTTGCAGTGTGACTGCAACCATCCATATTTCAACTTCCGCCTCCAAGGGTTATGGGCTCAACACTACCAAGAAGTAAGTGTGTCAGTTTTTTTACTTTTCTTTTTGATTTTTCTTTTTTTCCATGGCTACTCCAACCCTGTGTCTTTGTACACTGTGGAAGTGCTTGCCTTAATTGGCTTGGCAGTGGTGTGCTTGGCACTCATTTCCTTGGTCACTGCGTGCTATATCTTGCCATTTTGGCTTGGCAGTGCACTTTGAAATGAAAATGGCATGGCTTTTATCCATCTGAACTGTGAACCAACGCCTTGGCTTGTCAGTATCTACAGAACCTGCTTACACTTCCACAAAACCTCCTTGGAGGGAGGTGCCACCCCTCAGAGTAGCTAGGAGCATTCTTCTCCCTAGTCAGGTGAATATATGGTTCTGGCCCACATAATGCCTCTTCTAGTTCATGAGGTGAACTATAATATCAAAACTTTTTTAGCATGTACTACTGTAACAGTAGTTTCAGGAGCAGTGCCATTAGAAGTAGATGATGCACCAAAGTGATTTGTGGTTCTATTCTGAAATTCAATTGTTCTCCACATATCCACTGTATTCACTCTTGGCTGTCCTTCCTTCATCCATCAAATGGATAGTAGATGTCTGGAACAATCTTTGTAAAACCACTGGATTAGAACTTGATGCATCAATTTGACTTGACTTACGACATCAGCACTTTCAGGTGAAACTGCTGGAACACAAAATTTCTTAGCTTGTTAGCAAAAGTTTTGGAAGCCATTGAAATTGAAAATTATCTTTTTTAATCTTTGATTTGATTCATCTTTAGACACGTCGCTAGTATTTACATGCATTAGCCGAGCAGCAGATGAATCAATCATCCTGATTGGCTGTGTTCCTTCGCTCATGCTTCTGTATTAATTGATCAAACCACCGATAGTAGCATTACCTTGAGTTCTTCAAGGTTTCGTAGCGAAACTATCGATTCAACTGGTATGCCTGCCGAAAACTAATATCATAACGAAATTCCTACTCAAGCCTAGACTACAAAAGAATAATTACGGCAAACCGTCAGTATGGTGCCTCACTTGATAGTAGTTTGTAGAGCTCAAATATTGTGTATAGAAAATACTTTGACCCTTCTACATTGCGTTGCGTAGCATCTCCGTTTCGAACGCCATCCAATCGTATTGTTTGTCCCTACGAGTTGCAATTGCGGCCGGCTTCTTATGGTGCTGATTCTCGTCATTGCCGACCGCCCGATTTTGTTCTTCTTGTTCGGAAATACGATGATGACTGCATTGAACATCGCGGTTGTCGGGTCGACCGTCGCTGCTATTAGTTCCATAGCGATATGGATTCAGATTTGCGAGTGTTGTTGGAATGACCGATGACTTCACGTATTCGCAACCGTTGTTCGGAGTACTTTCTAAGAATGCACACGAAGGCATCCAATAGTTGCTGTTGTCTTTCTTTAGGAATATCGACTCGGGGGCCAGCAGTTCGTTCACACATCTAGCATTGTTAGGAGGAGAGTCCGATTCATCGTCGTCGCTACGCTGAAAGTCTTCGACGGACTTTTCAAACAGCAGGTCGCGTCGTCCTCGCACGAAGAGTTTGTGCTTGCATTCTCCTCGGTGTGGACCCTTGTAAATTCGTTCGAAGCCGTACAACTGAAGCTGTCGCAGAAATGATCTGTACCTCGTCATGTTGAAGGTTCGTTGGAGAGCCTGGACGATTTTTCTTTCGTCCCCAAGGTCCTGTGTTCCATCTACATGAATCTTGAACGAGGTTCCGTCTGGCATCCAAGAAATTACGTGACTGTAGCCCAAAGCTTCTGCATCCTCTAGCATATCATAGAGACGCAAAGGAAAAGCGGAATGGCGTTTTTTTCGTTTCGATGTGTTGTGATCTATCCTATCGTCATAACTTCTGATTCGTTTCATCTTGCTGAATGATTTAATGCTTTTATGGGATTGCTTTGATTGAATTCTTAACCCCGAGAATTTCCTGTAACTTTGTGAAACGACCGAGTCGAACTAGCTTTTAATCTAATGTTTTGAATTCCTCACTACGTACGGTACGAGTACGTTACGATGTGTCACTTACTATCCTGTTCTTTGTGTTCTTCTGATGTTCGTCTTCAAAATTCAATGATGAACGATTGATGTTCCGTTGAAACTGAGAAACTAGAAATAAATGAGCTTAACAACATTTCTGGGGCTTTTCGTGAAAAAGAGTAAAATCACGCCATCAGGATACCGTTGAATCCTACGAATGCCGGAACACGAATATTACTCCCTACAGACTTTTGATGACGAAGGATTGGTCAATGAATCACTTTTCGTTCCTGCGGGCTTTGCCAATAATTTAAACAATCTTCGGCCAAGTGTGAAAACAAACATTCTGGTATTTTTACTTTATTGATTCTTTTTTGTTTGTTCTGTGGGGAACTACGGTACCGTACGGTACCGTATCGTAGAGTACTCATACCGGTACAAAATTACTTTAGTTCATTTTCTCAAAAACACATATCTTATTATTCCCGCTGTACAGGTGACGGTACCGGTACAAGCGATCGATCGTGCGAGGAATCTTGATGCCAGTAGTGAGAGATAGTGTTCACTCGTACCAGAAATGTTTTGAAAAGCACCATGCGAAGTCGGTGTGTAGGGACAAAACAACAGATCACATGATTGCTTAGGATCAGCCTTACATTCTTGTAGTCTATAAGAACGAAGAAATACTAGTACTTTCGTTCAACTGACAATGAGTGTCAAGTGACACCCTAGGAGAGGAGTCGTGTGACATGATCCTCCGAGGCACCAATGCCTTGGGTGGAACTGGTGCTACTATTGGATGCATCAATTGTGTGCAGTGGTACTTTCTTACTAGTAACAGGCTCCTGATTCTTCACCTGACTCCGTTGTGGTGCTTTTGCACACCAATATAGGAAGGCTTTTGCACTCAAAGGGAAATGCCTTAAACCTTGAGACCCTCATGAAAGGGAGAACTTATCTCCAGGGACAATCGTCATTGAAGATTTTACAGCACCGGGCATGCTACCAGGCAAGAATGGAGCTGGCTCTCTCATGAGAGCATCCATCCTGTGAACTTAGTACTAAACTTGATACTTAGGAGGGGGCTACTGGAATTTCAAAAATTATTCTCCTGGTAGCGGGGCATATATCATGGTAGTGGCGTTTGTGGTAGCAATCTGGTATTACCATATAGCGTTTGCCAAGCAAAAAAAGACAACCCAGTTGTACATTGGCAATGCTGGATATACATACACATATATTGATTAATACTTATTGGACGCCCTACTCCCACATGGCTTTAGAAAGAAGCTCTTTTGATTCTCTTTTTAACCATTTGCTTCTTATCTTTATGCATCATTTGTGGTCAAAGTTACAGCCCAAACTGTCAGTTCAAGACTGAAACAGTGATAATGTTACATTACACGGGTGCATGGATAACCAGCCATCTAATTACCGTGTTAAGACTGCTTTGACTCAATGCATTTGAGTTCCACAATGGACACTTTGCACTTCAACAGACAAACTGCTCACAAAATCAGGCCACTAATTGTGAACTCAGTACCTGGCAATACCCCTCCTTGATTCTTTGTTCTCTTTCTGTTTTTTCAGAAGGAACTGTGTTGGATGCATTTCTCCATGCTTTAACACAATGCATCGATCCCATTTCTTTCTCCTAAAATTGTTGATCAAGAACAATACATCCTGTGATGGAGAACACCCCTGCTAAAAATGGAGGATACTGAAAAAACGAAAGGCAGCAGCAGCAAAACAAGCATACTAAGCAACAAATACTAAATACACCAGATTTTCTTGTCGAAGACCTCCATAAGGATGCATATTGATGTGCCAAAAGTTCTCCATACTCAGTTCCCCCACAACGCACAGCAATCTTGTTTGGTTGTCATCCAAAGAAAGGGTGAAATTAAATAGAATGAGAGCAAAAACAAAGGAGGCAAGGTATCAAGCCAGGATGATTGTTTACAAAGGATCCAAGGCCTGTGCTTACAAGCACTGGTTGCCAAAGCGCAAGCTTGCAATCATAAAGGGCAACATTGAGATGAAATGCTATTCAGCAACAAAGGCAGCAAGGGGAGCAGCAGAGTTAATAAAGCAACAATAAATTGATCCAGGCCTTGGATGGAAGATTCAAATAGTTATGGACACCTCAGCACCTCCCCCAAAAACCCTTGAGCCCCCTCCACCAGAAATAACTGATGATCTGTCCCCTCAAGTACAGTTTGTAATGAATCAGGACTGGGAGTGGATTGTTGACTGGGAGTGGCATAGGAAGCTTACCCCATACAACAAGGAGCTGAATGACACCTGTGCTGGTTGTTTAAAGAAGACCTACTTGAAAAAGAAAGATCTTGTGAAGGCAATAGAGCATGCTAGATTCACAACGCCTCTGTTGCCTCCAACAATGAGTGTTGAGGATAAACTTGAGTGTCATCTTTGAGATCTATAGGGCAGTAATGAAGAGGTAAAACAACTACACTCCTTGCACTTGATGTGCCAAAGAATTTGCCTTTGATGAGTAGGGACATCCTTTTTACATGGATCAAAGCTTTTCCTTCAATTCAGCTGACTATGAGGAGATGGATTGTGAGAACCAGCAACCAAATCATCAACAGTATCAGCAACTGAATCAGCAATAGAATCAGCAACTGACAACAAAGCAAAGGAATCAGCAACCAAATCAGAAACTGACAACAAACAAGCAATTGATAACAAAGCAACCAGATCAAAAACCAAATCACCAACCAAAAGAGCGCACTATCCATATTTAATAATCACCATTAGCAACATCAGCCACCAAATGAGCAACCAAATGAGCAACCAATGAGCAAAGGAATGAGCCAATGGAATGAGCCAACAGAATGAGCCAACAGAATGAGCCAACAGAATGAGCCAACAAATGAGCAAACTATCCATATTTAATAATTAGTATTAGTATTTTGTTTATTGCACTGATTCTACTAATGGTCCAACCACTGTGCTTAACTCTGTAGTAGTACTATCCGCAGTTGGTAGAGTTGCTGTCTGTAGGATATCAGACCGTGGGTATGAATCATATATACAACACACACATACGATACTTATGTACTCTTCAATCATTGTTTCTTTTCTCTTTTTATTGTCACAAAAAGTAATCACGACCCTTCACATCCTTTAGTGTCCCTTTTTTTAGACCCCCCCCCCCAATTTTGTCTTTCACATGCTCCATGCTCGATATTTATGTCACATTGGTCGCATTTTCTCCAACTGAAATCATGGCAGCTTGTGAACCAGATTATGTGTGATGCTACATGTCACAATAGGTTGTGACAGTGTTTAACCGTTGTGACATCCAAGTATTTGCATTACCAGATGACAAATCACTCTGACTTTTTACACTATATTTTCATCTGTTGCACCACACAAGCAGTAAATCGTAAACACCCTGTACCACAACTATTTGTTTTTCCTGACTTTTTGGAAACAGAAACAGAAACCAAAATCAGAGCCATAACCGAAAACCAACCAATCACGGTCCTGGTTGTCATTGTTTGCATGTATATTGTCTAGTAGCATTCAGTACTGCTGGACTTGGTTTAAAGCAGTTGTTTGGATTATGAATGAAAAAGAACAACCTAAACCTCTATCATTGCTTTTTCAATTGATCATGGCGCACTCAATAGGTGGAATCAGGGGGAGGGTTCTCTTGAAATGAAGTTGTACTGTACAAAATGACACGCAACATCAATTTCCATCAAGCAAAATAGCGCACATCTTTCTATTGCAAAGGAATTACAATTTTTGCAACCCTTTGAATACTTTCAGTCACTTAAAACTAGTAGTAGCACCAAGAAGAACGAATTGATATCCCTATCTCAACGCTGAGCAATCATCCATCCGGTCAGCAGGCACCACCTTACTTAAAGATATGAGACTGATGCTACAACAAACTACTGCGTATGACTTTTTTATCGTGATTGTTTAGAGAGAATGTAGTTTTATAGAAGTTGAAACAACTGCCGCCAGGCAATAGAGAGCCTCGGCCAGCAACACTTCTAGTTATGATTTTATTTGAATTTGATCGTTTTGAGTTCATGATGGATCATTGATCATGATGTGTGTGAAATTCATTCGATTTGTGATGGCATTGATGTGTTATCTTCTTGTCTCTCGTATGTTCTCTGTTTATGTTCCCCAAAATTAAATGATTATGATGTTCCCTTTTTCGAAACAAGTTCGACAATGCCCCATACGAATACCAATTATACGATGACTGCTCTTTTCACCTAAAAACAAACGGTACAACAATCGGGCTGGGAACACTGGAGTTTCGGATTGTCCCCCGCACAATCTGCTGTCAAAAAGTTGAGAGCACCTGTCGTACGCAAATTACAAATTTCTTGGGGCATCGTTCCCGTTAGGTCCGTGAAGTGCAAGAATAGATTAACGAGGCCAGTCAATTGCCCGAGGCTCGAAGGAACAGTCCCCGAAATGCTAGTATCGAAGAGACTCAGTTGTTGCATGTCGACGAATTCGCCAAGAAATTCGGGTATCGTTCCAGTAATACCCCCGTTGTTGTTGAGGAACATCACCCGTAGGTTCTGCATAGCTACCCAGTCATCGGGAATCGACCCTGTCAATTCATTTCGGTCCAAGCGAAGGAATCGTAATCGTTGCATCGCACCCATTTCAGATGGGATACTTCCGTTGAAACCGTTGTTGTCCAAGAAGAGAATTTGCAGTTCTTCCAGATTCGCAAAATTTGGACTGAGTGTTCCGGTCAGCTCATTCGAATCCAGATCCATGATCGTCAAACGCTTAGCCTCAAAAATTTCTTCCGGGATGGGCCCCGTCAATTGATTTGAATCTAAATCGAGGGTTACTAGCTTTTCAAGCAAACCAAAGGTCGAGGGAATGGTTCCGCTTAGAAAGTTCAGGCCTTCTTCGATCTCTCCATCGAAGTCGATGTCTTCTATTTGTTCCATGAAACCAAGTTCGTCCGGAAGGTCGCCTCTCAGGTTGTTTTCATCAATGGATATTCCGGAAACTCGCAGTCGGTTGCAGCTAATGCCATACCAGAAACAAACATCACTCGAGGATAGGAAGCGTTGCGAGTCTCCACCCGGACACTGCCTGAGATCTGGCGACGAAAGTGCATTGCAATTAAACCAATTGTTGCCATCGGTAGAAAAATACAAGACAGCCAGAATGTATCGCTGTTGGACGTTCAAAAAGTCTTCGGGGCAGACCATGGCAGAATCTTTTTCGATTAGCCATCGGAAGGCCTCGTTCTGGGGTGTTCCCGGACTTGTCACGTCACCACCACTGTACGTCGCCAGTTGCCCCAAAATAAGTGTTTCACGTTCCTGAGGTGTCAACTCTCCACATATCGTATCACCGTTGGGGGTAGGCACGTCGAAATTGACAGGAGCCACCACCGGAGCGACAACAGGAGTTGGGATCGGATTAGGATCCACTTGGATTGGAGACCTAGTGGGTGATCTGGTAGGAGACCCTGTTGGGGGCCTCGTTGGTGGGCGGGTGGGTCGTCTCGTGGGAGACCTGGTAGGGGGACGCGAAATATTCTCAAAATATGGTGCCTCTGTAGGTCGATTGGTGGGTCGATTGGTGGGTCGATTGGTCGGTCGATAAGTCGGCTGCCTCGTAGGTTTTTGAGTTGGTCGTTTCGCCTGTAATTCGAGGGAGGAAAAAATGGATGAGCAATTTTAATGTCCTCAATAGAGTTAAAAATATCTAAGGATTATATAGCCTGTCACGAAGTTCGTCAATATTGAAATATTTGGCTTCTCTAAGGATTCGTCTCCTCTAGCACATCATACACTATTTTCGTGGACCTTTATTGTGTCGAGACAGTGGAGAACAGAACATCACTTTCTACATGACTTCGGACTGAACTTACCGGCTCCATACTCATGCTATAATAATAACCTCGATCGCCTCGATCGTCTCGTTCGAACATGCGGACCATTTCGTTTACGTTCATCAATACATTTTCTTCTTTTACAGCCTGGTAGTGATTCATTGCAGTGATCTTACTCGCTTGAAGCAAATGCCGTGATGTTTCTCTTCGTTCGTCGCTATTACTTCCAGGTTTATTGTGTACTATCTTTCCGTTATCATAATGGTTATTACTGGATATTTCCTTGAGCTGTTGTTGTTTCTTCCGATCTGACTCTTCAATAATGGCAACTTGCAGGACCTGGGTCGTTCTTCGGAGTCGCGAGGGGCTGCTTTCTTTCATAGTAGCGCTGCTGCTACTACTGCTTCTACTTTTGTTAGGATTTTGTTCGGTATCTTTGGCTGCTTCAACGACAAAAAATGGCGGTCCCAGTTCGAACAAAACTGCTGCCACAACAACAATGTGAACCCCCCAAAATATTGATAAAACCTTCATTGTTGATTCTTATTTTTCTCTTCTCGAATACGAGGTTGTCGCTGTTGTTGTGTTCAAAATCTAATCGATAGGAATAATTTATTTCAATATTGGTAAAGAAAACGAAACGGGATGATGCTTTCTTGTATATGTGGCAAGTGGCCTCCTTGTCGCCAAACGGCACTCTACTCTACTCGACTCAAAGAACTGAATGAAAATCTAATTTTTCTGTAATGTATTTTGGCAGTGTCTTCGAGACTGATGTGAGGCACTGTGCTAGTGTGATGCACAGGAAATAGCACAACGTCGATCATAAATAAGGTAGATATATTACAAATATTAGTCACGACATGCTGCACTTGTCATGAAAGGAGTGGATCGAAAGAATAATCATACCACCGGTACGAGTACCGTTCTCGAACCTGCAACGACATTGTCGTTGTAAACCAGAACATGTGAAGGTATTTTCTGTGCCTCGGCCTGCGTGCAACTCGGTATTGCAAGTGTTCTCCATCCACCCCCCAACCGGCGAGTATAAATCTTTATTCGTTCTTGTATATGTTAATACGCGCAAAAATCGCGCGATAAATGAGCTTTACTTAGAAAATTTGCATACAAGAAAACCGTTGTTGTCGAGGTGGAAACGTGAACCAGTTGCAATTTTGGGCTGGTTTCAAATTATTTTTGGGAGCACGACTGGTACGTAGGTATCGATGTAGCGAGTCCCGTGTGTACGGGAGCAAAGGAAAAGCGTGCGCACGGGCGCGGTGACACCGGATGAGTGGCTGTGAGCAGCTTGCAGCTAGTAGCTACAGTTGCAACAAGAGGTGCACCTTGAAGCTGAGCAGCTCACTCAGCTCACTCAACTCACTGTTCCTATCCCCTGAAGCAAGCAAGCTAGTGTTAGTAATAGTAATAAGAAGAGCTTTAGCGTCTAAGAAGGTCAACGGCCAGCAGCACCTCACTGTGCCCTCCCCCGACCCATACATAGGCACTACTTCCATGGCTGGCACCACGACACCATGCCCGTCTATGTATGCCAAGCTCTTTGAGAACACAGCCTCCAATCCCTTTGGTACTGATGCAGGGGTTAGGAAAACAGCCTACAAAGGTATATACCGCCAGTTTCATAGCGTTCCACCAGGGGCTCTCCTGTCCGCACCCTTACTGCTGGAAGTGACCCTCAACTGATTTGAAGCAAAGGCCATTGGTGGCCTTGGAATATTTGTGACCAATTCCTCCTCCATGCCACGCCTGCGTATCATCCATGGGATTAGGAAGTATCCTGGAAGCCTCTTACACCCCTCGCAAAATGCTAACAAGAAGGCCTTTGGCTAAATTGATGATATTGTTTCTGGCTGTGGGAACTGGTCCAGCTTACGACCAACATGTTCATGCTGACAAACAAAGAGGTCCATGTATGTACAGGAGACCACCACCAAACCACATTAGAAGCAGACCCAGACCTCACCTTCATACCCCCATGTCCTGAAGGATCCCCGGAGACCAATGTCATCTGGTATAATTTTCAAATCGAATTTTTTCAAACGGAGCCGTGTTTCATCTTCGCACGAAGATACGATTCTCACTTGAAAATTATACCTAGAATTAGTACTACATTCTACACAAGCCAACTCAGACTCACACCTTCCAACTACCAGGAACCATGACCGGGCCCAAGGATCCTCCGGACCCTCTGGATCCAACCAGTAAGGACCCTCCCCCACCAAAGGGACCCACCAAGCCTTCCCCCAGGCCCACTAAGCCTTCCCCCAGCCCTCTCAAGACCACGGCACCTCCTCCAGACTCCAAGATCTCTGCTTTAGAGGAAGTGATCCCTCAGAATCGGAATACGATTCCGAAGAAGACCCCCACCACTGTACTTCAAACAGTTGCTGCTAGGCTCCAGAAGAGGCTTTCTAGAACCCGGCAACCTACATCTATCACCATTGCATGTCCCTCCCCTCACTCTCATTCATATTCATATTCACCAACCACCAATAACGAAGGAAAATAAAATAAAAATAACCACACGACAACACCGACCACGACAACACAGACCGAAACCCCCCTCCAGACTTATCTGGATCAGTCTCTTTCCTGTTGTTCAGGGGAGGACTCCATCCAGGATGATGAATCCATGCCCCTGGCTGAGGAATCAGACAGTGAATCAATGCCCCCGGATGGGGATGAATCGATGCCCCCAGATGAATCGATGCCTCCAGCAGATGCAGCTCCGGATGCCCCAGCCTCCCCTGGGGCCCCATCTTCCACATTAGAAACAGAATGGACCCTCAGCAACACTCATTCCACTCAGACCCCATCCCAGGGCTCCCAGAGCTCTCACGGCTCCTTTCCCCCTTCCGACAGCAAGGAGAGCCAGGAAAGCCAGGAAAGCTTCCTCAAACAGAAGAAAAAGAAATTCACTACCGAGGACACTTTAGATACTTACATGGAACCGGCACCA